TTAATGTCAAACCTAATTGATCTAGGACACCTCGTCCCCATAAATTTATAGGAAGATGATCCAATACATATGGCTGTATAGTTCCTTCACATCCTTCAGGATCCTTCCAATCTAATACCATTGCACTTCTATGGGGATTAGTTGCCACTCCTAGGCCTCGAAGCGTTTGAGTGGCTTGTTGTAATGGCCAATGTTTTGGCCATTCTTGACGAGAGATGATGCTAAGGTCTGCACCTGTATCCAGTAGCCCATTAAATTCATGTCCTTGAATATTTAGTTTTAGCATGGGGCGAGAATCTAAATTTAAAGAAAGCATAGCCCAATCTACACCTGTGGAGCCTAATCCCTTGGAACCTCTTTCTACAGTACGACTGGAAAATTTATCATGTAGGCTGGGTATTATTAGTAACTGTGCTATTCTATCTCCTGGTGAAATTACTGATATACCCTTTGGAGAACTGGCTATAATTTTTATTTCACCTTCATAATCGGGATCAATTACCCCAGGACTTATCATAAGTCCTTTTAGAGTAGAAGAGCTGCGTCCCAATAATAAGCCTACTGTTCCTTTGGGAAGAGGTCCTTTCACCCCTGTGGGAATGATTTGAACTCCCATCTCTGGAGTTAGTACTGCTCTGGCGGAGGCACAGATGTCCAACCCTGCGCTCCCTCTGGTTTGTCTGATGAGGGATCTGATGGACAATGTGTCCTGGGCACTACCCTGATGGGGTTGCTGGGTTCCTCCAGTGCTCCGTATATTTGTGGTTTTGGGCCCCGGAGCATTGGGCCCCCCTGTCCATTTTTTGGCAATGGAGCCCGATGCCTTTCTCCACGATATCGTGGATAAACACCTGGTCCTTGTTCGTTTTTTGATAATGGAATACCCTCTATGGTGGTTTGAGAACGGCATTCATTAGCCCAATGTCTCCCTCTACGGCATCGTGGGCAAATACCTGGTATTCTACTCCTTTGATACCTAGTTTTGTTAAACCCTCCTCCAATGGGGCAATTCCTTTTAAAATGTCCTGTTTGTTCACAATTGTAGCATGCTTTTGGCCTGGCATCTAAAGCCTGTTTTACTGCAGCTGCCACAATTTGCCCTTGTTCATTAATGTCTCTGGCATCTAAAGCCTGTTTTACTGCAGCTGCCACGACTTGCTCTTGTTCATTAATGTCTCTACATAATTTAATATATGTGTTTAAATCTTCATGTTTCCATGGTCTAATGATATCTCTGCACCAACGATTCGCTTGCTCATAAGCCAGGTGTTTTAGTAATGGCATTGCTTGTTCTGTATTCCAAAAAACTCTGGTAGCTGTTTGAATAAGCCTATCTACAAATTCAGCATAAGGTTCATTAGCTCCTTGTATTACCTTAGATAATTGACCTTGTAAACCTCCATGTCCTTGTAAAGTCTTCCATGCCTTAATTGCATCTGCAGCAATTTGTGCGTATACGCCAGGATCATATGCAATTTGTTGCTGCTGATCCTCATAAGGTCCCTTTCCTAACAACATATCTAGATTTCTCTGAGGATAACCAGCTGCTGCATTTCGCCTAGCCGTCTCCTTGCAAAATTCCTCATTGGTAACCTTCCATAACAGGTATTGTCCTCCATTTAGCACAGCTTTACACATATTAGCCCAATCTGCTGGCGTCATGTTCAAGTTGTTAATGGATTCAACCATGCTTACAGTGAAGGGTGCTTGAGGACCATAAGTTGTTACAGCCTCTTTTAGCTGCTTCACTGTTTTGAAATTTAAAACTTGGTAAAATCGCTGCCCTCCTGCCTCAAATACAGGGCATGTTAATATTTGAGATCTTGTCTCAGGATCCCAACTATCAACTGCGGGGGTTGGGGGCCTCCCAGCATATGGAGGTGGCGCTGTTGGTTGGACACTTACGCCCTCTGGTGATAGAAAGGTGTTAGTAGCAGTCTCCTGTAGAGGTGGTGCTGTTGGTTGGACACTTACACCCTCTGGTGATAGAAAGGTGTTAGTAGCAGTCTCCTGATGTAACTTTCCCCCTGATGGCTTTTTCTGTTTTACACTTTCTTTCTCTGTCTGACTAGCTTGAGAGGCCTTCTCTTTTACTTGAATCTTTTCCTCTGTCTGACTAACTTGAGAGACCTTCTCTTTTACTTGAATCATTATGTCTTCTCCTTCCTCTACCATTGTCTGAACTGAAGGCTTTGGACTAAGCAAACAAGATATGAATGTCCACAATGGCAATGTGCCATCTGGCAGAGTCCCTGGGCTTTTCTTTTCTATTCTTTTTAAATCTTCACCATGATGGTTCCATTGTGATATATTTAACAACTCCTCCTTAAAAAGCCATGGGCTACATTTTTGTATTGTATCAACGTATGCCCTGATTGTTCTTGATTTTACTGAGATGCCTCCTTCCTCTAACAATTTACTTAACACTCTTTCAGTTTGTTTTTTACTAATTTCTGATCCCGTATTTCTACTATAATACAACCCAACAAGATGACGCCAAACAAAACCGAGACAGAATGAAATAAAAAGGGAACAACAAAAAGTCATTAGCCTTTCTATCCTCCTGACATGTGCATCCGTCCTTTCTCCCTATCTGTTCCTCAGACGTAAATAGTTTTTCCTCAGATGTGAGCGGTTTTTCTTCCGTCTCACTCATCTCCAGGGACAGGCAACTTAAAACAAAAGTGAAGCAAAATAAAAGAGGAATCTTAAAATGGCTACCCATCCTCTCGCCCTGCCCTCAGGGGCGAGCAGTTTCACTTACCCTCAGTCGCTCCCCGTACGGGCCACCAAATGCCGCAGTCTGGCTGGGCACAATCAGGAGCCACTTGTCAAAAGAAACTAACTTTATTTTTAGAACCACGCACGCCAAACAAAACAGCCTCTCAGGAAAAACCCTCAGAGCCTCAACTGCCACCACTGGCTTTCCACAAGCCTCTCTCTCCCACACAAGCTTCTCTCCACCTCCCACAATCCTCCTGCTCTTGAGGCCGATTGGCTGGGTCACGTGGGCGGAGCCAAAAAAGTCCCCCAATGAGCAGCTCCGTGGTCTGAAAGGGCAGGGAAACAGCCCAATGAGCATCACCGCAGAGGAGCCAATCAGCTAGATGTTGCTGGGGCCGAGGAGCCAATCAGCTAGATGTTGCTGGGGCCGCTGTGAGCCAATCATCAGCCAGCAGCTGGAAGTTTGCTGGCAGCTGGAAGTTTGCTGGGGCCCCTTTGGCTGTGGCTCTCAACACTGGGTCACTGGGATTATAGGTTGATGCCACCACCCCCAGCTCCTGTTAATTTTTTATATATAGTTAAAATCCAAAATAGGATTTAAAAAAATAGTAAACAATTGAATTATATTTCTGGGATATTCTGAAATACATGATGTTTCTAGAATAAATGGAATAAATGTTCATTTGGAAAGCATTTAACTGTTCAGGGGTGGCAAAAACATTTGGTGGTGGAATTTCTCCCCACTACAGCAGATTTAGTGCTTTCTATTTGATCTTGTTAAACAAAGTAAAGAACTTTTAAAGTATTTGCTATATTTGTTATAAGTTTTCCTACTTGTTATATTTTATATATTGATGTAAAGCCTAGGGGGGAAATACCACTTTGAGGGAATAGATGGAACTCTTCTTGTTTCAGGGTCAAATTTTAAACAATTTTTCCTAAAGCAAAGTTCAATCAACCTGAACAATGTCTTATTTTATCTGAATATCTGATAACACAAATATTTTTGGCTTATCTTTATATCTTCTGAATTAAGTTATTTTCAGAACACCTTTAGATTATAATATAGGGAGGATGGTTCCCAGCCTGTATTATAAACATTTTCTAGCAATTGGAGTATCATGGATGACCTGCATGACCAAAATTAAACAGAGGATTCTCTTTGGGCACTGCTCACATCAAGATGTGGCAGGACACTTGGACAAAAGATTCTCCATATTCTTTGAACAATTCTTGTACTTCAATTGAGCTTTAAGCATTATCAGAGCTTTCTTGACGTGATGTCAGGGCCTAACACTGCTTTAGTGAAAGCACACACAAGCGAAAAATAATTGACCTAATTTTGCTACTCAGATGAGCAGCAGCCTGTACTGTAATGTTTGGCATCCATAAAGGGCAGAGGAATTGAAATGTATTAACGAACTTTATACAGGGAAGAAGACTCATCTAGGACAGCCCTGAACTCTTCAACCCTCAAAACCAAAGGACAAAATGCTAAAAGAGTGTCCCTTGTGGAAATACATTGGGTACCCGCAGCTCACACACCACTGTGATCTGCCTTGAATATTTGCTGGAATATAAAGCAAAAAAATGTATGTAAAAGCCTTTTGTAAACTCTAAAGAATTTTACAAATATAAAAAATTTCATCATGATTTTAGGCTTATAACATATGTATATGTATGAGCACTCACACTTTTTCTTCTGGCATCAATGTTTGCTTAAAATGATACAAGTGGAACAGATTAAGACATAAGAAAATTCTAGTTTACTATCACTCAAACTATATTAAATATGACTCAACTTTATCAGGTAAGGCACTTGTGAAGGACAAATAGGAACCTGGTAGCTCCATAGATAAATACATGTGATGGGCCAAGACTGGCTATTGCAGAGCAAAAAGAATAGACTGTATTAACACAGGCTAAATATAAGTGTATTGTGGAAGTGCAAACCTAGTGCTTTCTTGGAAAAACGTGCCTTAACAAGCTCATGTGGTTATAAGGTTAATAATAACTTATGTGTTTCTCATTCCTAGTAATTGCCAATCCCCTTGTGACTACGCTCCTAGTTTCAGGCAGCAAGTAGGAGATTCAGACTAACTGCTCAGAGAGGGGAAGCCAAAAACACACCAAAGACTCACTTCTCAGCTTTCCCACTTGAAAGTAGACAATAAGAGAAGAGATAACAGAAGCCAATTTATGCAGTAAATAAAGAATTTGGGAAGAAGGCAGTTAATGAAAGAGCTAGGTAGCCCGACCCTGTGGTATAGGTAGCCCGACCCTGTGGTATACTTTGGATAATAATGTGCTAAGCCTGGAACAGAGAAAATTTTATGAAGAAAATGGATTTCTTGTTATTAAAAATCTAGTATCTGCTGCTGATATTCAACGCTTTAGGGTTGAATTTGAAAAGATCTGCAGACAGGAGTCGAAACCAGTAGGACTGATGATAATGAGAGATGTGTCCATTGCGAAATCAGAATATAGTCCAAGTGAGAAAATAATCTCGAAGATCCAAGATTTTCAGGAAGATAAGGAGCTCTTTAGATTCTGCACTCTCCCAGAGATTCTGAAGTATGTGGAGTGCTTCACTGGACCCAATATCATGGCGATGCATACAATGCTGATAAACAAACCTCCAGATACTGGCAAGAAGACTTCCCGGCACCCGTTGCACCAGGATCTGCACTATTTCCCCTTCAGGCCCAGCAATCGCATTGTGTGTGCTTGGACCGCCATGGAGCACATTGACCAGAACAACGGCTGTCTGGCTGTCCTCCCAGGCACCCACAAACTTCCCCTGATGCCGCATGACTACCCCCAGTGGGAGGGTGGAGTTAACAGCATGTACCATGGGATCCAGGACTATGACAAAGACCATGCCCGAGTGCACCTTGTGATGGAGAAGGGAGACACCGTTTTCTTTCACCCTTTGCTCATCCATGGATCTGGTCGGAACCAAACTCAAGGATTCCGGAAAGCAATTTCCTGCCATTTCGCCAGCGCTGATTGCCACTACATTGACGTGAAGGGCACCGTTCAAGAAAATATCGAGAAAGAAGTTTTGGGAATAGCAGACAGATTGTATGGAACTGAAAGTGGCTTAAACTTTAAGGATATTTGGATGTTTCGAGGCCGACTTGTGAAAGGAGAAAGAATCACCCTTTGAAACAGTCCTTGATTATAACTCTTTCAAAAGGAGATCAAAGAAACAAGGAGTCTAAGGAATATGTTTTCATATGGGATGATGTAATGTTTTCTATCACTTGGTATCAAAATCAAGACACATGCATTGGGAACTTCATTTTGCAGAGTTAATGTTGCAGTGCAGTGATGTTACTTTAGTGGAAGTAAGAACAGTAAAATGAAATATAACTGTTTTCAGAAAGACTGGTTTGGGGTTACAATCAATAAATGTGGCATATGATTTAAAAAAAAAAAAAAAAAAAAAAAAAAAAAAAAAAAGAAAGAGCTAGACTAGGCAAAGATTTCACTGGGTGTGGGGGAATAAAGATAGGAGGGCTGAACAGGTAAATTGTCTCCAAGATCTTCCATTCTCCTCTCCCCTTGTCAAAACTGAGACCTGGGCAAATTGATGATAAACTAGAATGAATATGAGCATCCAAAACTAGATGTCCTGTGTACCTCAAAAGTGAGCAAAGTCCCAGAGTTTCCTAATTCCGTGCACCATGTTGGCTTGGAGCAGCAATGGCAGCAGGAGAGAAGCAGGATGGGGAGACAGCAGATGCTAAGCAGAGAAGGTCTGAGCAACTCCACTCCCCAGCCTCCTGCCATCAAAGAGGCCCCAGACAACCTCTGAAAAGCTCATCTCCCCTGAAAGTGATCCAGAGAGGGCTGGTAAACCTAAAGATTTTGCCAGGTTGGGACAAGGAAGATTTGGAGTAGAAGGACCAAGGATCAGGGACAGACCATGGTGGGATCTCCACCTATTACTTCATACAACTAGATGCTAGTGGAAATGCCAACAGCTATAGACCTGCCTGGGATTCTCCCAGTGGCTTCAACTCTAGTCCTGCCCTTAACTCATAATTTTTGTCCTGGAGAGGATGGGGAGGGAGAAATTCTGAAACTATATTTCTGTTAATATGTATCTTTCAAATCCTGAAAGCTTTGAATTGATTCAAATATGACATTTTTCTGGATAAATTTTGACAGGAGAAGAAATAGGGGAATCAAAATAGAGATTATGTTGGCTAATAGGAAAATAGTTTTACTTCGTATCTATTGCCTGAGTGTGTGGCCTTAAACATATCACCAATAAAGGAGGATTCATTATAAGCTGGTGTACTCTGCTCATTTACCGTATTTTTTTCAATTATGTTTAAAATATATTTCACATTAATCCAGTGCACCTATCAGCAAATTGATTAGGGAACTCAAATTAGTTGGTTCTCTAAAAAAAGCATGAACACTAAAAAGAACTCCACTATGATGGACTCATTGGAGACTTGGATCTTTGACTTTAGATATAAATATTTATGTCTGCAGACTTGTCTCTGATCTAACAATATATATTAGAACCTATAATTTTAGAAACATAGCATATAACATATAAATATATACTATATGTAATTTCTTTATGTTTAGTATTATATATTACTACAAATATATAAAATGTTGTATGCTACTATGTTGTAAATATAATTTATAAATATATAATACATAATTACATAATAACACAATATGTTATAATATGTTATATATAAGCTGTATATAATTAATATGTTTGATTTTATACATATGCATATAAATTACAGGTTCTTTGGCTGCAGGAATCTGAGATTCACAGTCGTTAATTTGTTTAGAATAATTTTATTATATTGGTAAATGTGACACAAAATTGAAGACATGTTTCATATTTAAGCCTAGGGCCCAATCCTGGTGACCCAGCTTGGAGACTGAAGTTGGGATATGGGTACCTCGACAGCTGGGGCTCATGTCTGGGTTGAATGAGGGACCCTGGCATGCCTCTGGGTTTTCTGCCTCTCCCTGTAGCTGTCTGCTCACTGTCACTTGATCCTCTGTATTGTGCCTATTCCTGTTGTTCTCCTCATCTTAATGCTCCCTTTTCTTGCCACAACTCCTTGTGGCATTGACTTTCAACCTTTATTTGCCCGCCTGAGAGAGAGTTTCATGGGCCGAGCTCAACTTTTCTTGAGGCAGGGCTTATCCTGGAGACTCCAGCTTCAGGACCCGTGGCTGCAGCTGGGTGGAGAGAGGAGCAGATCTTGGAGGCAACAGAGGAATTTCTTCTACGAGGGGAGGGGGGGTCCAGCTACCTCAGACTGGGCTATTGGGAGGCAGATGCAATGACTGATAAATATATAAACATATTAAAATGCGGACATTGAAGGCTTTTGATGTGATTCAAATTTCAGAGTCAAGCTTCGTTTAAGAACAAAAATGCATTCTACTGCTCAGTTAAATGAAATAAAGTGTTCAAATCACTAAGTGTAAGCTCTTGTAACATAGATGTTTATGATAGAAGCACATATTACTCCAAGTATTTCTCTCTATATTCCACTAATGTTTGTGGATTTTTTTCTTTCAATCGTTGGACTAATAATGACTTTGCAAATTATAATTGCTAATATTCTCTAGAGTAGAAGGCTTTTCAGATCACCTTCCAGCATTAATACCTATTTAAATTAAAAAAAAAAAAACACTGAGTTGCATTTGGAATTTCTGGTTTCTTCTGTTTGTCATGCAAATATTCAGTTCTGTTCTTTTTATGATAATATGAAATAAAGTAGTTTCTCATAGTAACATTGTAAATCATTTGCTTTCTATTACATGCAGCTGGTTTTGTTACTATAATGATTTTCTATGAGTGCATATTGCAGAGCACATAAGATGCAATGTGATATTCCTTTATTCAGAATTTATATGCAATTATTATTTGCCCAGAAATAATGAGACAATTTGGAAATATAGTAATTTATTATAATACATTTCTTTTTAATACATATCTACATTGGGTGGGGGGGAAATATAAATTTCTGAGAATGCCATGCCATCTCTTTTTGTTATATGGACTAGAGTTTTCATCTCACTGAAAATTCAGAATCAAAATCAAAAACAGCTGAGGTAGTTACTTGGGTGCCTTCCTTCAGCTTATTCAAAAGAATATAGGATGAACGGTAAGAATTAAGTAAACCACAAATTATTTTGGAGTGTCTGGTTTGTATTATAAGTAAATTTTTCACTGCTGGTTGTTTTTTCAAAAATATTGCCTGTATTTTTGATATTCATTCCTATGATCTAATGTAAACTATGTCCTACCAGTTTAATGTATTGTTAGTTCATGATTACATTTTTTATTATACTCATATGCTATAAATATTTCTCACTCTGCTCTTTGGATCTCCCCCAAATAGCAATAGTCTTTGAGACACACCATGGAAACTGTGAAGGGAAATATCCCCCTTTTGTGTTGGCACATATTAATTTCACACCTTAAATAGAATCTAACCACATCAACAATGAGGCACCTACTTTTAGGGGTAGATTTTTAACAAGTATTTTTAAGAGAGGAAAGTTATTAAGAGGCAACAACAACAACAAAAATCAAAATGGACTAACACTCTGCTTTCAACATTTCCTTCCTCATTCATCTTCACTAGAATTTTAAAGGACTTGATACTTTTACATTAGTTTGTAGTTTAACAAAATCCCAGTAGCTAAGTATTCAGCTTTGAAGTAGAAATATTTGGGAACCTTTTCTTATATACTTAAAAACAGTACACTCAGAATATTTTCACATTTTTTTCTCCTTAATTACCAACGCAGTGTCACCTGCACAATGGACTGCATGTAATGGGGAAGACGGAAGATGACCAGTTACGGTCTTTATGTCACCTATTTTAGCAGTGTGTTGGATTTCTCACTGCCATGTTTTGTTGTTATTCTCGTTTTCTTAGTGGTCCCCCTGGCTCTCCATAAAGGGGTCAGAGTTTGTAAGAGGAGGCAGACTGGTGCTACCCTGCACCAACAAGGGCTTTTGGAAGCAAGAACTGGTGGATATCAACAACAGAGGCACCAGTGAGATGCTGCGTGCAGAGAAAACCAAATCTGCATCTACACAGGGGCCCTCTTAGCAGTGAAGAAAAGGACATGTGCAACCAGCCAGAGCAGCAGGAGGACAGAGTCCCTGCACACGGCTGACTGCTGACCACTTAGCCCATCCTTCCCCCTTCCTGGAAGTGTCAGGTCTTTAGAGGGGTTGGAGGGTAGAGGCATCTCACTCCTGTTTGAAGAGATGGGAAGCAGCCTCCCCATTCCAAGTCTCTTGGACCACACATCTTGGGTGAGATGAGGTTGAGCGAACGCTTTACAGAGAATACAAACTGACTCTTAAGTCAGACAGATGGGTATGTATTTTAATTTCATGTGCCTTGACTATTTTGAACCCTGCTAAAGATATTTTTAAGGGATGTTTTGATCATTAATTCTCTTTAAAATCCCTAGGGAGACCTGATCAAACTAAGAGAAGTTTCTTAGATCTACTGCAATAAAGGGAGAACACCATCTTGCCAGAGCCTTATGAAGGCCTCAAAGTGGAGATATTAGGAAAGGGAGCAGGGGCCTGGGTGGGCGATTTAAGGAGGAAGATTTGGGCAGTCTGTGACATGAGAACTTTGAATAGAAACAAATTAAGGATAGGGTCTTGAAGTGGATCCTTTTAGCAAGTTGCTGGTCTTGAGCTGTTGATTGAACAGCTTATCTTACCGATACAACTCTTTTTCTGTACTGAACATCCAGGCCATTTTTCTTGGTCTCATTATTGCTGAACATAGGGAGAGAAAATTGGTTAATTCACGATATCATTTATTATGCAGCCATGCTATAAATATTTCTCACTCTTCTCTTTGGATCTCCCCCAAATAGCAACAGTTCTGATCTCAGAACTGTTAACATAGGAACAACAATTATAAGGGTTTTAATTCTTTTTTTTAATATTTATTTTTTAGCTTTAGGTGGACACAATATATTTTGTTTTTATGTGGTGCTGAGAATTGAACCCAGTGCCTCATGTATGCTAGGCGAGTGCGCTACCACTTGAACCACATCCCCAGCCCCAGGGTTTTAATTCTTGACTGACAGATGTAGACCACCCCCCACCCAAACAATACGAAAAGTAGTAATTGGAGAAAAATAATAGAATGTCATGTTTGTGCTCTCACTTCACCGAAGCTTTGAAAGAAGTAAATTGCATCATGCTATTATCCTCATTTGGAATTGGAAGCTCAGAGTTAAAACATTTGTCCAAGATCACAAAATGAATGAGCAGAGAAGACAGAGTTCAAAACCAGGTTGTATAAGGATGAGCTGCTGAGATATTTACTGCCTCTGGGATGACCAAGATTGTCTTGTCTGACTTTAAAACCTTTGCTGTCATTGTTTCCT